GCCCCCGTGTCCTCGCGGGTGGGAGCGGAGGCGGTTGTGTTTTCGGGCCCCTCCTCTCGGCGCTCACCGGCCCCTCCTGGCCCTGCCTCGTCCGACTGACGCTGCTTGTACTGAACACCTGCGGCTCGGCGGTTGTTCAGGGTTGCGGGGTGATTTGTTTGAGGGAGAAGCAGGAGGGTTGTCGTAATTGAAAGGGAGAAGCGGGAGGCCCCATGCACGAGTTAACAGCGCGACTCGGTGCTGGAGGGAGGGTTCTGCCTCCATCCCATCCAGGCCGTGGGCGGCTGTTGTTGCTCGGAGCTCAGGACTCCTGCATGCTGCCCCGGGTCGGGATTTCCTTCGTACGGGTGAAGTTCAGCCCCGTGTGGAGGGCGCCCGGGAGCCCCTTGGGATTTCAGTCGGAGAGTCCTGGTTAATCCTGACTGATCCAGGCAGCTGCCGAGTTATTTCGGGTCTGGCTTATCCAGGGTTGATGCTGGGAAGGAAACAGAGCTGCCTCTTTGCCCGTCTGCAGCTGGTGGAATTTTTGGGAGAAATTTAATTAAATCGAGGTATTTTTAGCTCTGGATGAAGGGAAGGGAGCGGCTGTAGCCGCTTCTGCTTTGCAGGGACGTCAGCCTGACTGAACTCGTGGCCGGAGGCACCTGCGCGGCCCCCGCGCGGCGCTGGCGCCGTGCCCGCTTCCCGGCGGAGCCGCGGGATGCGTGGGAGCGTTGGCACGGCCGGGATGTCTGTTAATAACCCGTTCGTCCCGGTGCCTCGCGGGTGACTCGAGGCTCGTGGGCTGAAAGGGGCCGGGAACAGGCGGCTCCGCTCAGCTGCGCCGGCGGTTTCCTGTGTTCCCGCAGGGAGCAGATGTGAACTGCATGCACGGCACGCTGAAACCGCTGCACTGCGCCTGTATGGTGTCTGACGCCGACTGTGTGGAGCTGCTGCTGCAGAAGGGAGCCGAGGTAAGAGCCCCTTCCCCGCTGGAGCTGCGGCATCGTTTCCCTCTGCGGCGTCGTTTCCCCGACGTGCTGCAGGCAGCGGCTCCCGGGGCAGGGAGGTGGTTTTGTGGCCAAAGCCAAGGGAAGAATTAAAAAGCTGTAGGTTTCCTGCCTGATTTTTGGCACTTCCCCTTGGCAGCTGGCACGTTGCACAGCCCTCGTGCCTCATTTTCCCGTTCTGTGCGTTGGTGCTGAGGTGTGAAACGGGATGCAGGGGGTTGTACGGGGTCGGTGGAGCTTTCCCTGGCACTGGGAGCGTTTGGGAAGGAGCGAATTCGCTCTGGTGCCGTCTCCTCCCCGCAGGTCAACGCCCTGGACGGCTACAACCGGACGGCCCTGCACTACGCGGCGGAGAAGGACGAGACGTGCGTGGAGATCCTGCTGGAGTACGGCGCCGACCCCAACGCGCTGGACGGCAACAAGGACACGCCGCTGCACTGGGCCGCCTTCAAGAACAACGCGGAGTGCGCGCGGGCGCTGCTGGAGAGCGGCGCCCGCGTCAACGCGCGCGACTACAACGAGGACACGCCGCTGAGCTGGGCCGCCATGAAGGGCAACCTGGAGAGCGTGAGCGTCCTGCTCGACTTCGGCGCCGAGGCGCGCGTGGTCAACCTCAAAGGGCAGACGCCCATCTCGCGCCTCGTGGCGCTGCTCGTGCGGGGCCTGGGCACGGCGCGCTGCTGGAGAGCGGCGCCCGCGTCAACGCGCGCGACTACAACGAGGACACGCCGCTGAGCTGGGCCGCCATGAAGGGCAACCTGGAGAGCGTGAGCGTCCTGCTCGACTTCGGCGCCGAGGCGCGCGTGGTCAACCTCAAAGGGCAGACGCCCATCTCGCGCCTCGTGGCGCTGCTCGTGCGGGGCCTGGGCACGGCGCGCGAGGATTCCTGCTTCGAGCTGCTCCACCGCGCCGCCGGACACGTGGAGCTGCGCCGCAACGGCCACATGCCCCGCGAGGTGACGCGGGATCCGCAGCTCTGCGAGCGGCTCACGCGGCTCTGCTCGGCGCCGGGCACGCTGAAGACGCTGGCGCGCCGCGCCGTGCGCCGCG